TATGCAGTGCTCATGTTTATTCAACGAAGTCAAAGCGTTTTGGAAAATCTATTTTTGGCGGTCAGTTTTGATATTGTGGTGGGCGCAACAAATAAATCAATGTATGGGAAACACTTACATAGGCTACAGAAACTTAAAAGTTCCTCATGGCAACCCGTCATAATATAAGTTCGGGTTAGCTTAAAGAAATTATCAGAAATATATTACTGTTGTGCAGTATGATATGCATAATACTACTACAACAATTATTACAACTTTTGTTTAAAAGAATAATCACACAATACGCTATGTCTTCCATGTTTTAATTTTAATAGTAAACCCTTTGCCAAAGATTAAAAGATTAATTAAACTGATTTATGCCTTCATTTGCACTGTACTGTAAATTAAAACTAACTGAAATTTCTAGTGTCACATAGGCCAAGACATTTCAATAGGCTATTGAACTAAGTGTGCCTGTAAAAGGCTATTAGTGTTATAGTTTCATGAAAATAGTTGCGGTCTTCTTAACAACTTAAGTTGTTAAGTAGCTACAATATAGCTATAAAGAGAATTACATTATTTACACTTATTTTATACATTTTTAAGTTAATCCATTGATGTTCATTAGATGATGAATTGAAGTCACCTCTACTATTGTAGGTTACGTTTTAGTCATCAGAAAAGAATTAAAGAGTTATTATGAGAGGTTATGCTATTACATATACATTTCTAACATGTAAATTATTGAAGCCAAATACTTACATTTCCCCAAGCTGTTTAGATGTAGTACAGTATTCATAGGCTTAACTTTTGTTAATTTGTATTCGTATTGTATTGTATTTGTATTCATGGCCCCACTTTTAACTATCTCTTTATATTACCCTTATTGCAGATGGATGCACAGAGGAAGACGAGAGTAAAAAGTACAGTGTGGGAGTACTACACTCAACCAACACCAGGAAAGGCAGTTTTTGTCAGAGCCCTTGTTATTCTTAATTTTGACATTAATTTTCATTTTTACACCAGACATATATATCGGTTCAAAATATCGGTTATCAATCTAATGGATCTGTAATAATCGGTATCGGTCCTGAAAAACACATATCGCTCGACCCCTACCCTCGAGGATGTGGCAGGTTTTGAATTGAGTGATACAAGCTGCAATTGTTGAATAGTTGTTAGTTTTATTCCGGCAGCAAGCAGCCTATAGCTTTATCACATTGTATTGTTTGCTGGTGATTGTAAGCCTGTCAAGTTCGTCTCAGATGGTTGATGGATGTGAGGATGTTGCTCCAATGATAATCGATTTCTAATTAATATGTTGATTCTAATGAGAGTCACTTTGGACGTCCTAATCAATTTGATATCTGAATCTCTTTATGTAGCTTTCAAACTTCCCTCAATTTCTCCAACATTCACAGACAACCACACTGATGATTAGCACAACTGAGCTCCTTCCGTCATCAGACTGATTCATTTCCAGAGATTAACTGTAAAAGACTTTAACTCACAGGAAGCTGTTTCTCCAAACAGTTGCTGAAGTTCTTAGTCTGGTTGGGTTTGAGTTTCTTCAAGGGGATTCGGGTTTCACCAATGAATTCGTTGTGGCGGAATTTGTCCTCGTCACACACTGAAATCCTAGATGAAAACAAAAGATTGACAGTATGAGTCCTGGGTCGTAGACTTGACATGTAAAGAAATCATGCAGCTAGTGAGAAAATTAATTTTTAGAAGACTTTCATCACCATGTTAATCTGATGTACCATTTCAAAGCTTTCACATTGCATTTTTATACTTATCTAGAACTGCTCTGACCCCGTCTGAACCTAGGAATAAAATCTGTAATCCGTTCAGTCAAAGAAATATATGGAGGAGAACATATCCACATACCCAGTCAAGTGTTGAAGGCAGGCATTACAAACTGATTCCCCACCACCTGTGCTTCATAACGTTTTTGAAAAGCACTTATTCTCAGTCAAATACATAGTGTGACCGCAACCAATTATTCACTATATCCCATATATTTAGAATCCATAGCAGAAGCTCCATGGGAGGATCTTTTTACTATAGATGTTCATTTGCATTGAGCTTGCTCACTGTGAAATGAGTTTTCTGTGCTATTTGCAATATCGGCAAGAACCACTTGATATGTGGGGGTAGGAACAAAGGCACAGCTTCTTTTAGTTTTGCACAGGTCAATAACAACATTTGACTGGATACAGATGAGTAATTCACACAGAAAAAAATAACTTCCTGCTGATATCTCTCATTTACAGAAAGAACAGATGGCCAGAATAAAAAAAAATCCATGTTTTTAAGATGGTGATGAATTGGTCAAAAGCAGAAAGAGACAATTATTTCACCAAAAATAATTCTTCTGTTAAACACAAACTGCGATATTTTGCAAAATATCCAAGCTGCTCTTTTCCATACAATCAAAGTGAATGATTTAGAATGTCAAGCTCCAAATAGGACATCAAAAACACCCTAAACTGTTCTGTTATTTGAAGTCTTCTGAATGTATATGATATATGAGAGGGACAGACCAAAACTAAATCACTGATTCTTGTCATTCACTGAAAATACTGTCTTCTGCTAAGGCTCTTAAATCTCATTCAAGCTTTGCACATTCAAACCTGGCATGTCATGATAAGCATGAGAACCAATAGAGTTTATGCACGGTTTATTTTCCTATGGCTATGTGCCATCCAATAAGTTCTCCTAAATATGATTCGAAGGAAGGCCTTCATGTTTAGTCTGTTAATCACTTTTTTTTTTTTTGGGGGAGGGTGAACTATCCATTAAAATGTTTAACAAATGAAAATCAGACCCCAGTGTTTGTAGAATATGCGTCTTGGTCACTGAAATTGAGACCAGGGTTTTGGAAGACTTGGCCTGGGTATACTTCAATTTTCACACACCGTCTCGTGCACAGCTGCATCCGCACAGCTTTCAAAGTATACTCAACCGCAGATGAGCACAGATGGACGAACTCAACACATGTGCAGTACCACCTACTTGACTCGTTCTGTCTCAACATTCACCTCACACATGCGCTGTTGTAAGCAGCCCAACTTTTGTGACCGCACGGACTGTCCGCACACAACAGCGCAGGCGCGAGGTGCATGTTGAGACAGAACGTGCACGTCAGCAGACAATTCTGATGAAAGTAAAAGCGAAAGTGATGTGACGTGTGGCCAAGTATGGTGTCCCATACTCGGAATTTGTGCTTTGCATTTATCCCACCCAAGTGCACACGCACAGCAGTGAGTAGTGAACAAACGCACGCACACACACACACACACACACACACACACCCCCGGAGCAGTGGGCAGACATTTTTGCTGCGGTGCCCGGGGAGCAGTTGGGGGTGCCTTGCTCAAGGGCACCTCAGTCATGGTATTGAAGGTGGAAGAGAGAGTGCTGTACATTCACTTTCCCCATCTACAATTTCTGCCGGTACCGAGACACGACCTTTGGGTTACAAGACTTGAACCCGCAACCTTTGGGCCGAAGTATACTTTGGGGTCAGCAAAATAGCAGGTTATATCCAGTGCATCGTGTCTCTCATGCCAGCAGTGCTGATCCAGACAGTAAAATTCAGACATATTTTCACTCTAGACACACGTGTACTAGTCTCAGCTTCAAGGACTGCCATAATCCTCATTCTTTACACCTCATAACATGACTGAGTCATTCAACTCCCTCTCCAACAGAAATCATAAAACTCCACATAAAACTCCACATAAAACTGTGTTAGAAATATACATATATACATACAAGCACAATGCGGCACTTTAGGTGTATAGTCACTATTACAGCATAGTCTGTGATGCTTTATGATCTAAAAACATTTTCATACATGATTCATTTGTAGAAAATTGCCCCATCAGGACTTCCAACAATAAAACAAGTCAGACTAATGTAGAAAAGGTGATTCTAGGATTAAATTCTGAGCGGTGTTGTATTTGGTTGCATTTTATTTTATTATACAGATGAGAAAAGAGGAGCATGCATCTGAGAGCTGTGCTCTGAGCTGAACATTGCCACCCAATGCCATCTGTAATCAGCATTCACCACTGGGAAGTGGGATTAAAAAAAATGACCTTAATGAACCAAACTTTAAAAGTTCTTAACGACTAGTAAGGGAAGGACTCAAACTCAAATAACCTTGTAATCTTAAATCAGGTGCCGTATTCACAAAACATTTTATCTTACCACTAAGAGTTTTTCTAAACAGCAGTAAAAGTTCTTAGGTAAGAGTTTCCTCTTAAGGCTGGAATACACTACACGATTTTTGCCCTGATTTTCCGCAAATTTACAATCTGGAGAAGTTGATTCGGCTAGATGCTGAAAGTCAGTGCCAGTATGCAGATTTGAGATGACAGATTTCATACAAAATCGTGTAGTATATGATGGTCACAGACTCCGATTTTTTAGCTTCAGATGATAATTCCATCCAGTCAGAGGATATGAAACATGTTTGATATTTCAGCCAATTTTAGAAAACTGTTTTCTTTTGTCATGCATCTCCTAGCAACAAGGCACACATTTCTGTGTGAGATTTCTTGATGTGATCAGAACAACTTGAAAGTCTGGTAGTGTGTGATCCTCAGTCGTTTAGTGCATGATGGCCAGTTTTCTTCTGTGACTAATTATAAGTCGGTGAGTGTACGATGCCTAGTGTAGCAATGTCAACAAGAATGAGGTAGAATAAGGTATCATATGTTTCCACATTCAAATAAAGATTTTAAAATGTAGGCTACTAATTAAACCAGTACATGCTCAGCTAATTGTCAGCCTCTTACATGTCTGCATCTCGTAAACAATTAGCAGATATGCATATAAGCAGCCCTTTAAATTAACAGACTAGAATTAAATCATGGCTGATAGGTAAGACGCTGTGCAAGCGTAAAAACCAAACTGGGCACGAGAACAGCGGATATTTCTTGTGCATGAAAAGAAGGACATAATTAAATTAAAGGGAAATTATCATGACATGTTTTTAAAACGTTTATGTTCAGAGCGGATTGCCTCTTGACTAGCACTTTTTAAAGATTTAGGAGCTGGTTTTAGCGCTAAAACACTTTGTGAAATATTCTTAGTGCAAAAATTTAGGACTGAAGTCCGTTATTGGCAATTTAGGAACTACTTTTAGCCTTAAGATGTTTTGTGAATGTGGCCCCAGATTTTTAGGGGACTGAGATAAAACACAGTAGGGCCAAAGCCTCTCTTAATAAGGTCTAGCAATGTCTACGGTTGAGTTACAAAGCCTTGTCGATAAGCTAAGGAAGAACACACAGAATCTCCAATCCACATTATTTCCATTTCTTACCTTTCCACTGCATTAACAATGAATTCCTGAATGCTTGTTCTATTCCCATCTGGAAGTTAGTTGTGCATTTGTAACATACCATTACTATTCATTGCTAACTTGTTCAGCCTGGCTCAGTAGTTCAGCTCTCCAATGACTTCAGACATGTTCCAGGTAAACAGGCAATCACACTTTCTTTCCCTGGCAGATGGATAAAGGTCTTGAATGAGACATGGTGCAGCTAGAGCACCACTCAGGCATGTCCAAAAGATCAGGTTAATAAAGGCATTTTCCCCTGCTATGTTATATGTGGATAGAATTGTTTCTCTAGACAGCCACGTGTGCTGGATTGCTCTTCATGCTGTTTCCAGAACGGTGCTTTTTCTGTTTTGTTTTGATTATGGTTGATTACTGTAGTGCGTTTTTTAATGATAACTGTCCCCTTGGATAAATGTGCAGGGAGTTCTGGGATATTTGTACAATACTATTCTCACAGGCAATCACAGTACATTGTGTTTTTCTGCGTGAGCCGGATATATTTGTGCGTGGCCTTAAATTTGCAAAGACAATCCTGAATAATATGAGGTAGAAAAGTCCTAATTAGTCAGATGTAAAAGCAATGGTCCTTACTAAAATATGTTTTGTTTTGAAAGAAATTAACACTTCTATTCAGCAAGGATGCATTAAACTGATAAAAAAGTGGCAGTCAAGACATTTATAATGTTACAAAATATTTTGATTTTAAATATATGCTGTTCTTTTGAACTTTTTACTTAAAGAATCCAGAAAAACAACAACAACAATAATGGTTTCCACAAAAATATTAAGCAGCACTTTTGTAACCGTTTTAAATATTTATAATACAACGAAATGTTCCTTAAACAGCAAATCAGGATATTAGAATGATTTCTGAAGGATCATGTGATACTGAAAACTGGAGTAATGACTGCTGAAATATATTAAAATATTAGTAAAAGGCTTTTGAATGATATATATATATATATATATATGTATATAGACACATCAAACTAGATTGATAAATATATAAGGATAAGTTAATATAATATTTCTATTGGGGGATAGAGGTAAGACATTTTTTTGTAGTTGGTCACCAGGTTTGCACACATCTCAGGAGGGATTTTGATCCACTCCTCTTTACAGATCCTCTATACATCTTTAAGATTTTACAGTACATGGCCCCGTCCATTTGCCCCTCAATGCGGTGAAGTCGTCCTGTACCCTTAGCAGAAAAACAGACCCAAAGCATAATGTTTCCACCTCCGTGCTTGACTGTAGGGATGGGGTTCTTGGGGTCATAGTCAGC